AAATAATGACAACACCGTGGTCTAACGCTGAAGCGCAGGTGTTTTTTGTGCTTGGTGGCCAACGACAAAATTCAGAGCGAGATATACTGAAAGTATAATGGAAACACAACTGTACCGTGCTGTACTGGCACTAATGGGAAAGAGGCATTAGGTGGTGCTTGAGGAAACAGGACTAGGACCAACGGTCTCACATGCTCCAGTGGAGAGCTGCTGAACCACAGGTCCTCAAATACAGCGCTCCTCCTCAGGCTGGATCAGGAACAGGTGTGGGAGGTAAGCTCCATCCTGCCACTCAGGAGCTGCAAGAACCATTAACGGCAGGAAACCACAGAATCTCTCAGATTAATCTGAGAGACTGAAGAAATGTTTTCTCCAAGCTGTGTGCAGGGAAATAGAAAAGGTCCAGCTCAGTCCAGTTGTTTACCAGTACAGTACGTCTTTCACCCAAGAGACAGCGGGAAGCCTGATCTGTCCCATCTTCCCCCATACCTGTTTTTGTGAAAGATTTTTCTAAAGTCTTCAACCTTCCACAGACACAGAGCAGTGGTGTTCACTAGAACTGAAAGACAGGAGGGAGCTTGAGGACAATTTGTCATACATGCGTTTTTCTCATTGCACATGTGAGGCAGTGGCCATCTGGGGCGCCCAGGGAGCAACTGGGGGGTTAAGGGTTTTGTTCATGGGCCCAGAGTGGGGCTAATGAAGGTGGAGGCAGGTGTGGGTGTTTCACCTTTTCCACCTATATTTTGATGATGTCAGTCTGGGGATGGAGCCACTGGTGGTTTAACTGTGTTTATTAACCATTTCATTAATGGAGCAGCTGGCAGCTCCTTATCACAATTTATTTTCATTTTCTATGAGCAGCCGTGTGCAGAAATACAGTCAGGTTCTGATTTATGTTTTTATGGCTTTCTGGGTAAACTACACAGTTTGCATGAAGGAAATTACTTAAACGCATAAATACTAAACATTTGCAGAAAACCAGTTCATGTGAGGGCAGCACGGTGGTGCAACTGATAGATCTGCTGCCTCTCCTCTAAATCTTTGTGATATACAGTAGCAGGAGATGGAAATTTTCACAGCTCTTGGAGAATTTAGCTGGAAGTTTGCTCAGTTCGCTGGTCGGCTGCTTCACTTTCATGTTCCGTGCATTTCTCATATTTCCAAAATACTGTACCGTAATTTTATTTTACACTTCTTGCAAACAACCGTGCTCGTGTTAAGCTCTGTCTTCCCCCAGAACATTATAGGATCTGAAATGATTTTTAAAGACCAAGAGGTGGGTTGAATCACGCGGTCCTCCTCCTCCATAGCAGGCTCCATTCAGATAAAGGCAGCTGGCTAACTAGCTTGCTGTACGGTGGCCTACAAGGCCAAATTCTACGGTGGTTGTACAACTCTTGAAGCTCACTAAATTTGTCAAATGGCCAAAAACTCCTGCATGGAGAGCGTGCAGACATCGTGTATGGGGGAGTCTGTCTGCTGAAAAGTGGGCGTTCTCTTCATGATAGATTTGTGGCCAAATATCAGATGCAGGGACGAGTGGAGACTCTGGCGGGAAGAAACCTGTGTGGTGGCGTATTCTGCAGCGGGAAGGGTTTCCCAGGAGGTCTGTGTCTCATGAACTGTGAAAGGTGTGTGTGAAAACAAACATCCCACAACCACGTGACCTTGAGTCGATTGTTCGGCTTTGGATGGAGTATGGCGAGTCCTTTAAGTCAGTAGTTTCGAGCAGGATTCAATGTTGCCCATTTGGGGCTCTGGAATACATTTGACCATGGTCACTGGAGTCCCTAGTGCCATGTTTCAGACCATGGAGCTGCCAGTGACCGGGGTCTTCTTCTCAGGGGGGGTGTTAGTTATACTTGAGTAAGACCAAGGAACTTATTCTTGATTTCAGGAGATCCAAGCGCACAGAGCACCCTGCCCATTGCATCAATGGAGAGGAGGTAGAGAGGGTGGAGAGCTTTAAGTTCCTTGGTGTGAACATCTCAGCTGACCTCACCTGGGCTGTCAGCATCTCCTAACAGGTGGGGAAGGCCCAACAGATACTCTACTTCCTCAGGAATTTAAAGTGTGCTCACCTCCATCGCCTCATGTTGGTGAACTTTACTTATTTATATGTACAGTCTATGTTACATATGTACTTCTATCTTAATACTGTGTATTGATACTTTGTATTGCTGTCATGGAGGTACCAAACTGCATTTCACTGTTTTCAGTTTGTTTTTAACAGTGCTTTTTGCAGTGACAATAAAGATTGTTTCTAACTTCTTCTTTCAGCTGCTCCTTCTTCGGGGTCGCCACATCGAACTAACTCGCACAAAGACTTGGTGATTGTTTTTACGCCGGATGTTCCTCCTGACCAACCACAGACACTGAGCTGCCACGGCCTCTGTGTGGAGCAGAGAGCTGCCATCCAGGATGCCCGACGGAGCAGATGGTGGGGGTTAAGGGCCTTGCTCAAGGGTCCAGTGTGGGGAAAATGAGGGTGGTGGCAGGTGTGGACATTTCACCTAACCCACCCACATTTTGATGCTGTCGGTCAGGGGAGTTGGACCGGCAACCTTCCGATCACAGGCTCACCTTCTCTAAACTCGACGCCACCACTCCCCCATTTATTCTATGATCTGACAATGATCAAAATAAAAACTGAAACCTGATTTTAAACACAAAGACCCAACAAAAATAAATCTAAACGCTCGGATTGACTGAAAGTCGATCACAGCACAGAATGGTCAGTTGGTGCCATCTTGAATTGGATCCACCCATTCTACACCCAGTGATTACTAGGTGAAAGTTTCATTAAAACTTGTCTGGCGGTTCATGAGATATTTTGCTAACAGACAGAAACGTTAATGCATGATTTCAATCAAAAGCACGCAGCCCATATCTGCGGTGGAAACTAATAAAGAAGTCACATATTTAATGAGCGATGTTTTCATGCAGACAGTACTTTTATTAGTCTGACTGTGTGAACTGCAGCTGGTAATGATTCATTAAAACCAGAACGACCGTTGAGCCCAGGTTTGTTTGCATGCTGTGTGTGGCGGATGAGAACTGGTTCCTGTGATTCAGGAGTTCCAGGCACTCGCTGCAGCAAAGGTAAGGACTGGATTTTCTGAAAAACAGTTAAGTCAGTTTACAACTTAAAAATCAGCACAGTGCAAACTCTCTGAGTTCAGAAACATTTTTCTTTTTCATTTCTTCACCTCCATTTTTTTGCATTTAGATACATATTTTATCATCAAAATGCAGGTTTCAGTTTTTTTAATTGGCGTAAAAAGTTTCTACTGTTTTTTCTTGTCAGCTTGAAGTTTTCTTTATTGGGGTCCGAGGGCAGTGAGGCAAGTTAATGTGGCAGCAAAGTGTCAATAAAAGTCAAACTGCTGCCCAAATCGCAAGGAATATTGAGATGCTATTTATATGACGTAACTATTTCGTGTGTGGCAGATAAAAAAAAGACATGTTCACGTGTACGGCGCGCTATCATTGAGGTAGCTGCTTTTAGTCCTCTCAATTCTAAAGCTATAAGTCAACGTTTAGCGGCTTATATCTGCATGATCTGTGGACTCAACTAAATCATATGGTTTAAGCCACGCTCATTTTTTTGTCAGTAAAGTTTTGTGCTACATCGCAAAATTTGCTATTTTTGACAGATTTTCAAAGGTTTCACGTTTGATCGGCATGAAACGCACCATCATAAACCTACATATCAGAGAGACAAAAGGTTTTCAAGGACCTTATGTTATCTTAAAAACCGCTATACGTTTAAACAAATGGCGCTGACAAGCAAATTAAACACCCACAAACACATATCCTACAGAGAAAACTCACTTTGCTTGATTGTATCTGTAAAAATGAGTTTGCGGTCACCTCTCCAAGCTCTTGACCATAGGTGACAGTATGAGCATAGACCGACTGGTTAAACGAGAGTTTTGCCTCGCAGCTCTGATCCCTCTTCACCACAACAAATAGGCAACGTGTGCAATAGTGTGGAAGCTGCACCGATTCAACACTCGTGAACAATACCCCAAGAAACCTAAAGCCCTCTTTTTAAGGCAGCACCTCAACTCCAACCCAGAGAGGCAGTCTACCTTTTTCTGACTGAGGTCTATGATTAGGAGGTGCTGATCCACTCTGAAATCCAGGAACCAGTCCAGGGAGAGCTGGAGATCACATCACGATGATGTTAACAGGACCACATCGTCTGCAAATAGCAGACACAGCCTCCTGAGGTCGTTGAACCTGACCCCGTCCACTGCCGGACTGCACTCAGAAATTATGTTTATAAAATGTATGAACAAACTTGGTGACAAGGGGCAGCCCTGGTGGAGTCCAACTCCCATCCTGAAGCGGTCCGACTTACTGCCAGCAATGCAAACCAAACTCTTGCATCGCTCGTGTAGGGACAGAATGACCTGTAGCAACAGTCCTCCAATCTCATACCCACAGAGCACGCTCCACAGTGTACCTAGAGGATCACAGTCTAATGCCTTCTACAAGTCCACAAAACACATGTGGACTGGATAGGCAAACGCCCACAACCCCTTGAGGAACCTAGTGGGTGTAAACCATTGGTCCAGTGTTCCACGACCAGGACAGAACATCGTTCCTCCTGATTTCAAAGTTCAACCAGTGACCGAGCTGTCTTTGCCAGCACCCTTGAATAGACCTGGCCAGGGAGGCTAAGGAGAGTCCATCCATCCATTCATCCATACATGCATACATACATTATCTTTACCTGCTTCTTCCTTTTTGGGTCATGGAGGTCACTGATGCCCATGTCCAGCCATCACTGTGTGAATGATCGGGGACAGAGAGTTGGTGGATGTTGGTGTATCAGGTTGTAGATGCATTGTCTTCCTTTTAAAATCTTCAGATTTTGTTTAGCTAATTTAGAACAAGATGTTTCCCAACAACTTCCTGACAGTTTCATAACATGGTGACTGTGGTTTGCCCTGGTCTCATAAAGACCATCATGTCTTTGTATTTAAAGGTTGTACAGGAGATGCAGATTGGTGGACCTGTTCATCAGATGATGACAGCAGAGAGCAGCCCTCTGAGCACACATGTGTTGAACACCAGTGATGGGGTCCCAGGAGCCAAGATGGCGCTGAGCCTGCATCATCTGGACTCCAAGCTGATGATCTGGAGCATGATTGGTGTCGGGTAGGCTTTAGATTTAAATCTCATAAAGTTTCACATTAAATGGAGTATAGATGAACAGAAAATTAAAAAGTTTGATTAGTTCAGGTTGCCCACATTCACTTCATTGCAGATGTATTTTTAAAGCTACATTACAATCAATCTGGGTGGTCCGTTACGATCTTCTTTTGGGTCAGATCCCAATAGGCTGAAATAAAAATGTCTGTTTCTGTAAAAACAGGGACATTTCAGACCATTTTTGACTTTCAGGATAACAAATGAAGAAGGTCGCTGTCCCGATCTGATCAGCCAGGAAGCGTTCACCCCGGGCATGTACAAGCTGCGCTTTGAGACCGGTTCATACTGGGAAAGTCTGGGTCAGGTATCCATCTACCCATATGTTGAGGTAAGATTCGCAAAGCCACCATAATACAGATAATGTGACAACACAGTTGATCACAGCATCCTTTTAAGACTTGAACATGTTGTTGGTCTTAAAGCCTCAGTTTTATTGGGGTTTAAGTTCAATTTAGCCGATAGATCTTTTCCTGTGACGATGGGGGAATGTTCTTCTTCCTTCCTTACATTTTACTGACCACATCAACTCTGTGGATAAATACATCAAGTTCACACGAGAAGATGTAAAAAATGGCAAGTTGGCTTTCTTGGACTGTGAGGTCTCAGTCTCTGATAGAGGACATTTGCAAACTGAGGTGTACCGCAAACCCACCCACACAGACCAGTATTTGCAGTTTGACTCCCATCACCCTTTGGAGCACAAGTTAGGAGTCATCAGGACTCTGTA